TCTTCTTCGGATGCTGGAAGCCTTTGCCGTTCCTTGCCGGCCCTTCAAGGCAACACGTGGCTGGGGAACCGGTTTCTGTGACACACACATTTAGATCAAAGCTTTCCGGGTCCGCCCTTCAGGGTGCATCCAATATATATTGTTTTCCAGCCGATCGGGAGCTCTTCCAAGGGGTCAACAGCTGCATCCAGCAGTGGCATGGCCTAGGATAGCAGCAGTTTTGTGTAGCTGACTTGCAGCCATGCCGGCGAAGAAACCCGCTGCAGCCGAAGCTGCAGATGATGACGATGATGGGATGGGGAACGATGCTAGGCCACAGAAGACTGCTTACAGAAAGGCAGGGTTCAAAGATGCAAAGCTTCTGTGTGCTACTCTGGCCCCCTACATAAAGAAGCGAAACGACATCAACTACACGTCGACTAGAGATATCACGGCGATCCAGAAGAGCAAACTTTCCAACAAGTTGTCTAGCACTGATTCAGCATGTTTTGTTGTGTCATTCTGTAGTTTGTTGAGGTTGTCACTTCTGTTGGGGAGTGGAGTTGAGTAGGGACCTGATCCCAGGTTCTACCAGGGCCTTCTTACGAGCACACGAAGCCTCAGCCGAACTTGGAATTTCCCTGACACGATAATCAAGAAAGCTTTGATGATGCTGCTCGATTACGAGGACTATATGTTTTTTGCACGTCTTCGTCGATGCCTCCTATATAACCATTCTTACACTAGCACTAGAATAGTGACAGAAATCAAACACCTGGGAGCTCAGAGAACAACGAGAGAGGACCACGAAGATCTCAAGGCAGAGGTTGGAGATAAAGACGGTTGGGCGACTTCGACCACTTTGAGGCTCAGTGCCCTCTATCGTCACTACTCCCAGGCAGCCCTTCGGTGCAGGGCCTGGGTACCTGAGGCTCGATGACTAAAGTATTGAATGCTAGGGCAATCATCTATGTAGTAATTATGTATGGAAACCCCAGGCACACTGGAATGGAAAGCCCGGCAAGAAGGCTTCAACAAGGCCAAAGGTGCCGTTCCGACGAAAAATCGGGAAGCAGAAGGACGAGACTCAGCAGCCCCGCCCGCCGCAGCAGCCAGCCGAGCCAAGCGCAGATGAGCCTGCAGATAAAACTCCAAGTTCAGACAGCGGCAGCTCCAGCAGCAGTAGCAGCACAAGCAACTCGGACAACAGCCAACCTGTGCTACGAAAGCCAGCAAGCAAGGCTTCAGCAAAGAAGCCGGCAAAGAAAAAAGCACAGAAGCCTCAGCATGCACAGACACAGGATTCTCCTCAAGAGCCACACGATGAACTCGAGGCACAGCAGAGCGAGCAACAACAGAAAGAACAGGAGCAGCATAGCGAGAACGAGCAAGATGAACCGAGCCAAGCTACTGAACCCGCTGTCGGTTTGAGTGACACCTGGATCGCATGTGTACAGGCTTTATAGTTTTTGTTGACTTTTGTGTAGCCTCTGTGTGTCGCTCGATGCAGCCACGTAATCCAAGCCTACAGAAGCCTAGAGTTATGAGGACCCCAAGGCTCAGGCCAGTCTTGTTATTTTGCAGGCCAAAAAATTATCTAGCCCACACAACAATTATTCAACAACTACCCTCCTAGCTTCAACCAGACAACATATTTCACCGATTTCATTAAGACGCCGCCAAGGAGCAGCAGCGGACCTTCATCGCGAACGACTGGTTCATGGAAGCCTTCGATGACATGCTCGGGGGCTTTGACCCTACCTTGAGTGCCTTGTCACAAATAGCTCCTTTGTCGTTGTTTCGGGCTGTGGATATGTGCCAGTCGGTGCCGGATCTTGGACTTTTGGCTCAGGCAACGGATGGATGGTAGGAGCTGGGGCTTTTACCCTTCAGGATTTCGGATTCTAGATTTGGGTACAGGATCTGTCTGGATTTCAGAATTTCGCCTAAAGGGTTTCTTCGCAATCAGCTTTGCATTTTATAATAGTGCAAGGGCTTTTTCTGTAGCATGAATAACAGTAGCTAGGGTCCAATGATGGCAGAGGATTCCGACGAGGAATGGTTACGAGAACTGCTTGGGCTTTCGGTCCAAGACACCGAGAGGCAGAGATGCTCGCCACATAGATCCCCTGCACTTCCGAAAACTGCTGGGGCAAAGCTGTTACCAAAGCTCGTCATGCTACACGTGCCGGGTGCAAAAGGGAGAGTGGCTTCAAGGAATTTCTGGAAAACCTACGTGCCCAAATCGCTTCACGATGTGCCAGGCCTCGAACCTGCAATGAACGATATTCTTGCTCATCCAGATGTGCAGCTCCAGATTCATTCCACGGCTGTTTTGGCCAGCAAGCTGCTTGCTCATGCGAACCAAGTTATACATTCCTTGGCTGATCACACTCAGTTCAAAATTGGGCTCACACGAAGCCCACGGCATCGCTGGGGAAACGATGATTACGGCTACGTGCTTGAGGGTAGGTGGTCTTCTATGCAAGTCATTTGTATCTTCGAGCACAGCGAAGCAGCAGCTGTCATGGAAGCTGCACTCATATACATTTGGGGTTCCGACCCCCGCTGTTTGAATGAAGCCAGTGGGGGGGAGTCTGCTTCGAAAGAGCCAGGACCTTGCTTCATTTATATAGTGCAGAGCTGATGTACGGAAGTGCACAAGCGGGCGATGGAAATGTCAGATAGCTTAGATATAGCTATTTAGTTATGTGTTGTTGCTGTCTGGGGTGCCCGAACAAAGTGCACTTCAATCCCAAGCCAGAGCCGACTGCTGGACAAATATCTGTAGTGCACACTTCCTTTGCATCTGACTTGTGCTATACCCGCAGAACGTCCCAACTCCCAATCCTAAA